AGTTACTTGCTGAGAGTAATGCCGCACTGACCAGCGCTAGGAAAGTTACTCGCCAAGAGTAACGCCGCACTAAAAGAGTTAAGCAACCAAGCCATTAATTTAAAAGACATTTTATAGTAGTTGATATCTACTTACTGTCATCAATCTCATATTTTATATTTTATTTAAGATTTTTTTTTGTATTGTGTGTTATATAATGAATTCCATTGAAACATTTCACACAGCAACAATGTTGACAGTGTATTCTTCTCCAACATTTGTGAGTCTCAAGACAAATGCATCATCACACCAGGTCTTTACGCCATGGTAGGAGCTGCAGCTGCCCTGGGTGGAGTCACACGTATGACAAGTCAGTCCCTTACTACATAGGCGCAGCAGAGTTTTTAGTGCTAGAAGTGTAGTATACAATTTAAAATAGTATTTTAGTTTTAGCTACATGTTTTTAAGGTTTTATATTTTGACTTGCAGTATCACTAGTGGTCATTATGTTTGAGTTGACTGGTGGTCTTGAGTACATAGTACCCATGATGGTAGCTGTAATGACCAGCAAGTGGGTTGGTGATGCCTTTAACAGAGATAGTATGTATCCTTGGAAAAAAAAACTTGAAATGAAATATATTATGACGGTTAAAGAAGTGCAAGAGCTTCCTTATTTTTTTTTTTAAGTTTCAGTGAAAAAGCATGCTTTGTACTTCTATTAGATAATCCTGGTCAAAGTAGTTTTTGACTGCAAAGTGAAATGCTGTTATGTACTTTTTTAAATGTATTTTTCCCTTGCAATTTTAGATAGAAATAGAAATGTATTTAATTGGGTTTTTCAACCTTGACTTAAGTTATTTAGTTATGATGCTCATATTACCCTCAATGGATATCCATATCTTGATCACAAGGAGGAGTTTACACATACAACTATAGCTGCTGATGTCATGAGACCCCGGTAAGTTAATACTATGTCGCTCTCAAAATTATTCAATAAGTACATGCTGAATGAACAATCTTTTTAAAAAATAAAACATCAAAGCCTTTCCTTTCAAATTACTCTTTACTTTTAGAATAGCATGTAATTTATTTTCATAATTTTGTACATAGCAATAATGTAGTCACCTTTTCTTTTAAAAAAAAAAAGCAATGGTAAAGCTTCAAACAATCTTTTATTGCCTGAAAATAAGGTGTTTTTTATTAACCTGCATCGCATTTAAGGAAGGATAAAAATAAGTTTCTCATTGTGATGGTCCGGCTTAATGAACTAAAAATAAACATCTGAAATATACACTTCAAAAAACCATCACCATCAAAATATATACAATAGAAAACACTGATTGCTTATGATGGGTCCAGTCAAAAACAAGAACATTGAACTGTAGTCCTAAAGATAATAAAAAAAACAACTAATTCACTCAAAAATAAACAAAGCATTAATTAACAACAAATGCACTTTTAAAACAAAAATGTACCATTCTTTAAAAAAAAAGAAAACAATTTAGTATCTATGTAACCCTTTCAAAGACAATGGTGCCAAAATGTCCTGCTTCATTAACAACAGTCATCTTGCTACTAATATTCTTAGCATAATATTATGCTTTCAATTTTACAATTTTTATGAAAAAAAAAAAAGTATATATAAATCTGATAGCTAATCAAAAGAAAAAAATATTTGTGTAATTAGACTAATACCTGCATGTTTTCAACATGACACTAAACTTTCTGTTGTTTGCACTCGTGATTTTGTTCTTGAAACTTGGTCCTTTGTTGTAATTTTTTAAAATATTTTTTCATGAATGTAATTTTAGTAGTATAATCTTATTATAATGTTTCCATTTAATATTGTGCACAGTGAAATTAAATCTTCTGTAAACCCCCCCCCCCCCCCCACCTCCATTTCCACTTCAATTTTCATTTAGATACTAGGCTTACATTTGACACATGTCTTTAACAGCTTATCACTTGCTAACCATATGCCAGGTTTGTGTTCTGTTTTGTTTTTTTATTCAAATGTATTAATTATGTGGACACAAAACTTGTATATATTTTATTAACCACTATATTAGATTTGAAGTAATAATTATTAACCTCAATCTAATATTTATAAGCCTAGACTAACTCTCTCAGTGTGAATAGGACCTATTGTTGTGATATTTTCACAAAGGGTGCTTTTTTACTTTGATGTACCCTGAAGTCTAAAGTTAAAAAACAAAAAACCAAGCATGACTCCCACATTAGCTTTAGGTCATAGACCACATAAGCTTTGCCTGCTCCATACTGATTTTTGTGTGAAATAATTTAGAACATTAATTAACAAGCATAGAAATGTTCTTTGTTCACAAAAATGTGTGCTGTCACCATGCAGTGTGTTGTACTGTTTTCTTCTTTCTATGCTGTGCAGTTTTTCTGTGTGTATTTATGTTTACTTTAGTGGTACATTGTTATATTGGTTTACTTCTGGCATTTAATAGTAGATCACATTTTAGTTTATCAGATTAAAATTATTATTTCACATATCACATGTAAGTGCCTGGAGAAATTTCTTGGAGTCATTTATGACCTCCTCTCGGTGGCTGACTTTATTGAACAGAAATGGATTAGGTAATAGGTTATGTTTTTTGAATGCAATAACACAGACATCCCTAAGTTTTTCTCAACTAGAAGCTCCCAATATAGTGAAAGTTGCCATGATAGTCAAAGTTTCAAAGATAATTTTAAGAGAAATGTGCAAGAAAGAAATAGATTTCACTGACATTGAAAGGATTTAGATAAAAACTGGACTCCCTGATTTGGTACTCAGTTAAAAAATACCTCTAGTGGTTTCTGACTGAATTTTCAACAACTTATTTTTGAGTGGACCAAAAAATGTTTCCTTTGCTAAATTAAAACCATGCTTAACTTTAACACACACAAAAAAAAGAAAAGTCACAAAATTATGTTCTAATCCAGTAGTTATTAAGATATTTTTGTAGCGCATGTAGTAGTCTATTAACATTAAACTCTTCTGTCAATCAAGACAATAATTTCTAATAAATATTGTATTGTGCATTTAGGAGAAATGATCCACCCCTGGCAGTCATTACACAAAACTCTTGCACAGTGGAAGAAGCTGGTATGTGTGTGTATTTTAATAGAAATGTTTCTCAGATATCTTAGATTTGCATTGTATTGTATGTTTATTTCTTGATATTGAAATTTATCTAAAGCTAAATTGTTTCAGTTGTTTGTTTGTTTTCTAATCCCATTAAATAAAATGCCTAAAAATATGAAGTTTTTTAGATAGGTCAAACATCTCACTAGATACATACAGTTTTACTATTTGAAGGTTTAGGTTCTCACTTTAGAAAACAGTTTTACAATACAAAGGTTCACACTTAAGAAAACAGTTTTACTATACAAAGGTTCCCACTTTAGAAAACAATTTTACCATGCAAAGGTTCACACTTCATACAAAAGCATTGTCCTACAGTGTTAACAATTTTAAAATGTTTTCTTCTGGCCAGAAAATTTACTGAGGAGTACAGAACATAATGGCTTTCCTGTGGTGGTCTCCAGGGAGTCTCAATATTTGGTAGGATTTGTGCTTAGAAGGGATCTTAATCTAGCAATTGGTAAGTGTTTGACTGAAATGACAAGCTAGCTATTTTGATATCTTCCAAAATAAATTTATCATACTTTTTTATAATTACTTTTAGCTAACAGCCTTTTTATTTGGTATTTGGTCATGTAAGTCCTTCGTGAGAGGTTTGGGGGATAATAAACTCAAATTTTGTTGTTCTAATTCTTCTTTTTTTTTTTCATCTTGCAGCTAATGCTTGTAAAACTTCAGATGGTGTAGTCAGTAACTCTATTATATATTTTACTGAACAAGTCTCTTGTGACCCAAATGGACCAGCACCTCTTAAATTGAGGAAAATTCTTGACTTGGTAAGCACTGCTTCACCTTTAACTTGTAGATTTGAACAGACCAATCATGACATCATCAGCTCATTGGAGCATATTCTTAATTTGATCAGTTTTTACTGGTTTCATTTTCATGGATTGTACAATATAGTTCTCAACTTTGATACAAAAAACTATAAATAAATATTATATTAACATATAGTAGCAACCATAGAGTACAATAGTTATTGAGCTAAAAGGCTTAAGAAAATATGGTTAAACACACATAAGCTCCGACAAGGACTCAAACACAGACCTTGTAATCGGCCACAGTGCCTAGATCTAGCAGCCAACATCTTACTTAATCATCCTGATCTCCTCAAAACAACCTTTCAAGTCAGTTGAGTTAGCTGGACCTGTCACCCAGGATCACATGGCTCGAAACCCACCAAGAGCCCACCAACATTCTTTTTCTTAATTTCAGTTTTATATTTATGGTCAACACATTACAAAGCTTATCTTTTTCTGTGAAAACAAATATATTCTTACAATTTTTTTTACCTTAAGTGGTGATACCTTAGAGTTTAAGGCCAGCCATAGAAATTTAGTGTGATTGAGTCTTTTTTTTATATTTTTTTTTGTTCTAAAGGTATTGAAAGTAGGCTATATATTTAAATTTGTACCATGACTTGCAGGCCCCAGTGACCATCACTGACCAGACACCGATGGAGATAGTGGTGGAAATGTTCAGAAAGCTTGGCATTCGACAGACACTGGTCACTCATAAGGGGTAAGTCAATTCTAGACCATATCAACTTGGACTTGAAATGTATTAAAGACAAGGTGTTTCCATTTTTTGGAATGTCAACCCAATTAAATCAAGAAATGTTTCTTTCCCCCTTTTTGTTAAAGAAGCATATTCAAAATACATCTCAATAGCTAACATTTGCATGTAAATCTTTTGATAGTGACTAAAAAATTTAAGAAACTATTATTGTAATCATCTTAAGACTAAATAAAATTATATATTTATCTTTCATGTGTCCAAGATTCATTAAGTATGCTGCATTGTATTTTCTCATTAACAGCCGCCTGCTTGGTATCATCACCAAGAAAGATGTCCTTCGACACATTGCTCAGCTAAGGAACCAGGACCCAGAGTCTATTCTCTTCAACTAAATCTGACATTGCAGATAATTTGTTGTGAACAAAATCATGCTCTCAGTGACTTGTTGAACCTTTATTGTTCATAATCAAATCATTCTGGAACAAAATTTATAATGTATTTTGTACACAAAAAATATTTATTTTGAGATGATTCCTTACCCTACACATATTAATTTGTAATATTTTATACTTATGTGAGAATGGATTATGTATGTACTACGCATGTTTTAGAGGGATAGACTAAGCAAAGAATCAAATGCAAAAGTCTTTTATAAAGATTTTACATATAAATTTTTAGTAACGGTACATACTATTGAAATAATTTTTTTATTTTGTTTCTTGAAGAGGATAGTAGAAGTTACTAAGAATTGTAGGCCATTGACTGAACATAAGTTTCCTTGACTTTGTAATGTAACCTGCCTCAGTTGAAAAAACATAACAACTACAGATGATTTAGATTTTGAGGGGAATTGTTTTGTATAAAAGTGGGACTGTCAGAATCCATTAACCTTTTTTTTTTAACAACAAATATTTAAAAGCAAAGTTCCACACAACACATTTAACTATATTATATTCAGGCAGCAATGATAGAATTAAAATATTTTTTACTTTTGTGTTCATTTACTTTCTTTACTAGAGACATAAAAACATGTAAAGCAATGTATATTATTTATGGTTCAGGTGATGTAAAGCTTGATATGGTTATCATTGTTATTTTTTTCTTTTAATAATTGAAGATGAAAGGAAAAAATTCCAACCTTTGTTTAACTGATAACCTTGAGACCTTCATATTAGAAGGTCAAGGTTTTATCACTCCACATTTCCACAGTTTGACTTATGAATCTTGGTTGGCTCAAATTAACCAGTGCAGATAAACCATAAAAGAATCAATATTTATAAGCATCATTCATCCTGACTTTGGAAGGATGACACCCCCTTCACACACACACACACATGATTGCTAATCAGGTGTTACTTTTATTTATCACTGTTTGCACTGTAAATAGTCACTCTTGCAATGTCATAAGTACTTCATGATTTCTATGAAGTCAAATGTTGATGTCAGAAAGTTAAATGAATGTGATATTTAATGTACATTTATAAAATCAATATTTATAACCTATTGATTTTTTAAATTGTTTTTATTTTGTATTGAGACATGTCTGGTTTACTTTATAATGAGAATATTTCAATGAATAGAAATATAGATACATATATAGGGACTATATCAAGAGAGAACGGATGTCTGCAAACTACGCAAACAACTGAACTTACTTTCTCTAAAACTAAAAAGTCCTCTATGTTAATGATTGTGTTCCATTCTGTGATTCTGCTGCATTGTTGGGACTACCTACAGATCACTGATTTGTGACTGAATGTGATGCTCTGTCAAGAGAAATAGTCAAAGTGGGGCTAAAGCTTACAACACAACAATTGAGAAGCACCTATGAAACTTCTAAAGCTATTCAACCAAAGGTTGAAAAGAAATGCTGTCATAAACGAGGATGCTGAAAGGGAAATTTGCATTATCTCATTTGGGGACAAACGTTTGCCAAATACATTTTTTTTTTATCATGGATTTGAGAGGCGGACATCTTGCTATTGGCGCCCCTTAGGAACCCTTGGAAAACCCACAGAGAAAGATGCAGTAAGGGGGAATGTTTGACATTAGCTAATCCTAAATTAGACAGCTAGTGCCCAGGGCTGCTGAACATCGCTTTACACTGATGTGCCAAAGGGAAATTTTTTTAGAGATCATTTGCAAATTATGATAAGAAAATAGATATTCAGAAAAAGGCTTTTCATGACTTGAGTCTAGCTTCTTAAATAGTAAAGACAATGACAACTAGGGCTATTATACATCCTACTAAAGAAAGACCTCTTTTTTTTTTAACTGGCATTCTGTGTTCAAATGTCCAACTTTGAATCTCTTGTGTTCTTCTATCCTATCCAAATGTTCCTCTATTCTAAGCTGCTCATCGCTCCTAAAGGTGTTTTTTTTTTTTTTTTTGGCTTATTGGACCAAAGCACAACACACTGGAAGATGTAATAGAAAACTAGAAGATACAAGAGAAAAATAGATGCGCACAACTAACTAGAAGATACAAGAGAGAAATAAATGTGCACAACTAACTAGAAGAAACAAGAGAGAAATGTGCACAACTAACTAGAAGATACAAGAGAGAAATAGATGTGCACAACTAACTAGAAGATACAATAGAGAAATAGATGTCCAGTGTATAATAGGAAGAACAATAAGTCGCTTGAACTGTTGTTAAATGTCTATTCATCTGACAAATTAATGCGTGTACTTAGGTAGCTTCTGAGCTTTTGATTTACTGATTTCTTTCTTGCTTAGCTCTAAAAGTTCACGTTCCCCCCCCCCCTTCTTTTGGCCATGCAGCTGTCTCTACGCACAACAAACCAAAGGAAATAACCCACATTTTCAGACTCAATAGCAGCCGGGGTGGGGTCATTAAAACTTCAGACACGCGATTTAAGCAAACAAAAATAAATCATTATATACTTCCCGCGGATGGATGTGGTATGCGAATTGTCATTCGGTGGTCTCGATGGTCGCGGGTTCGAACTCTGCCCGATGCCATCCCCCGTCGTCCTGCTGGAGGTTTGGGCTAGGATGTCATTATCTTCTAATCTGAAGGAACATCCGAAACGTTTTACAAACAAAACAAAGTAGTTTGGGTATTAGGACTACTGCATTTATGGTTTGGCATAAATATTGTCACACCATAAACCTTACTAATTATACTAGAGCTTCTTCTTCTTCGTTCTCATTGATTATGTTGGAGTGTTCAGATGAGTAGACCAATACATGAGATGAAATGCGCAGTGGTTTCCAGATCAGGGAGCTCTCCATATAGTTTCTTTTCTATTGGGGTGATTTGGGGCCAATGTCTTATACGAGCCTCTTGGTATAGAGAGCAGTTTTGGAGGACGTGGTCTGTATTCTCTGGTGATTCTCCACATGGGCAGATTTCACTGGTTCCAATTTTGAGTTTCCGGTACATGTGTTGTCGCATTCTGTTGTGTCCGGTCCTGAGTCGAAAGATTAGACGTTGGTCTTGTCGGGATAGCTTATAGTAAGCGTCATCTTTCTTGTGATTTGGATGAGAGCTCGTCCATTTCTCATTTATTTTATTTACTATTAATTCCTTCAATTCTTCTGGATAGAGTGCAGAGTTTATTAGTGTGTTAATTCTCCCACTCTTGGCGAGTGAGTCAGCCTTCTCATTTCCTTCTAGTTCTATATGAGCTGGGATCCATTGAATTACAGTTTTTTTGCTATTGTTGTTGAGCTTTGTAAGTGCTGTTTTGAGGTTATTAATATATGAGGAATCAGAGATTTGCAGGCTTTGGAGGGTTGTTTTTGCATCGGTTAGTAAGACAATCTGACTGTGTGGGGAACTTGGATGATTTGCTAGGATGGTAGCAGCTAGTGCTAGTGCTTCCCTTTCTGCTCTGTGACTGTCAGAGAGCTCTCCAGTTGCAATGGATTTTTCTAGTTTTCCTCCATCTGGCCATTCGATAAGTATTCCAGCTCCTCCATTTGTGGTGGCTTTGTGGGTTGAGCCATCCGTGTAAACTCTGATCCACTGATTGCTAGGATAATTATTATGTAGAAAACAGTTCACTATTTTCTTGAGCTCTGTTGGTCTGTAATCAAATTTTCTTTTAATGCTTTCAATATGGTCCCTTATAGTAGGAAGAGGGCTTTCGTCCCAGGGTGGGGATTCATTATAGTGTATCGGGGATTCCAGGGTAATATTTTCAAGTTGGTGTTTCTTTTTTAGGTTTAGAGATTCCTGTATGAAATTAGTCCTTTTGAGACGTTTTTTGGTGCCAGTTTTGAGGATTTTGGTTCTGAGTGGGTGCTTCTCCATGGTTTCCAATTTAGTGAATTGGGAAAGGATTTTTATTTCTCTTCTTTCATCCAGAGAGATCAGGGCAGCGGTTTCCTCCATAGCTCTTATGGGTGTTGTTTTGATTGCTCCTGTCATTATCCTTAGACCAATATTTTGAACCTTGTCTATTTTTCTTAGGTTGGTTTGGGCTGCTGAGCCCCATGCTGTGGCACCATATTCTAGTACAGGTCTCACGTAACCGGTATAGGTTTTTTTCAGGATGTTGTGATTTGCTCCCCAATCTGTGCCAGCTAATTTTTTCAAGAGGGATAGTCTCTGGATGCCTTTACTCTGTGTTTTATCAATTTGGCTTTTCCAGGTTAGTCTCGGGTCATAGGTGACTCCAAGGTATGTAGGGCTGTCATTTTTTTCTAAAGCTTCCTTATCTAATTTTAATTTTATTGTTTGCTGTTTTGTTGACAGTGAGAATATGGTATAGGTGGTCTTTTTTTGTGTTAATGGACATGCCCCAGTCTTTGGACCAATTATTTAGTATATCGAGAGCATCTTGTAATCGAAATTTCGATGTTCCTACATATTCTTCTGTGCTAATTAAGGCAAGGTCATCTGCATACATGCTGCTTTTAACTTTTCTTGGTAGGTTTTGATTTAGATCGTTTATGAATATTAAGAAAAGTGTTGGGGATAGGACTCCTCCTTGGGGAACACCATTTTTAATACCCACTGTGTGGCTTCTTTGTCCTTGCATGCAAACAAAGGCTTTTCTATTATTTAGATATTCCTTTATCCAGTTGTACATTCTGTGGGATATGTGATGCTGGATTAGTTTGAGCAAGAGACCTTGTTCCCAGACTTTGTCAAATGCTTTTTCTAAGTCAACCCACACAATTGTTGTTGGTTTCTTTTCTTGAAAGCCATCTTCTATTTCTTGTGTGATAAAGGCGATTTGATCTTCTGTTGATCTACCTTTTCTAAAGCCAGCCTGGGCTTCAGTGAGTAGGTTATTTGACTCAAGGATCCATGTCAGCCTTCTATTTATCACTCTTTCCATCAATTTGCAGGAACAGCTAGTGAGGCTGATGGGGCGGTAGCTATCCAGTTTGTTTCTTGGTTTGCCGTGCTTTAGTATAGGGATCATAATGGCTTTTTTCCAGATGTTTGGAATTCTGCCAGATTTCCAGCTAGCATTGAATATTTGTAGCAGTTTTCTTTTGGCTTGAGGACCCAAATGAAGAAGCATGTCATTAGATATTTTGTCTGGGCCCGGGGCTTGTTTTGGTTTGAGGACTTTTAGGGATTCATCAAGTTCCTTCATTTTAAGATTAGTGGTCATTCCCATGGAGTAAGCTGGATTGTTTTCTTTAATTCTATCTTGGATTTCTGAGTTTACATCTTTATTTCTACTTTCACTGATTTTTATTTTTCCTACGCTTTGGAAAAACTTAATGAATTCATTTGCTGCTTCTTGGCCTTTCAGGGGTTTGTTGTCCTTTTCTATTACTATAGGAGTTGTTCTGTTTTCTTCCTGGTTGAGACATTTGGCTATACGCCAGAGTTTGTGGCCGTCTCTATCTACGTTTAGCCGTTCTGTTTTTTCATGCCAACTTTTCCTCATGGCGGAAAGGTAATTTTTCCTGAAAACTGCGTTAGCTGCTTTTAGATTTATGTTATTTTCTGTACAAGGGTTATTTTCTACTGTGTTTCTGGCTTCAATGGTGGCATTGTGGAGTTGTTGAAGGTGATCAGACCAGTTGGGAATATAATCTTTTCTTGCTCCTCTAGGAATTGATTCCTTAGCTGCTAGGAGGATTGCTTTGGAGAAAGCTGAGTACGACTTATTAACCTGATTAGATTTGCAGTTTATTGAAGTTGTGTATAGGTCTGTGAGCTTTGAGAATAGGTGCCAGTTGGCTTTTTTGTAGTTCCATCTGGGGATGGTGGAGTTTTCTGATATTTTGAAGGAGCTATCCATACTGATCAATATGGGTCTGTGGTCACTGGTGGCTAGCTGGTCTGCAACTTCTCTGGTGCACTTTTTGGATAAGTTGTCAGTTGCAAAGGCTAGATCTGGAGTGGTTGATGTTAGCCAGGCTCTTGAGAAAAATGTTGGTTTATCCTCAGGTTTGTTAAGTAGGATAAGTCTGTTCTCTGCTTGCCATTCTTCAATTTCTTCTCCCCTGGCATTTAGGTCTGGGTATCCCCAGCTCTGAGAGTGACTGTTCATATCTCCTAAGATAAGA